GTTAAGAGAGCTAACTAATCGCGCAGTCGGAATTTATAGCGTGCATGCATGCGCGAAGAACACGGAATTACAAGGACTTAGAAGAAGGGAAGGGGGAGGGATTCGCCAACGTCTGCATGGTCTGATCGCGGCGTGGGGGACGTAGCCGCTCTCCACGCACCGATCCGATCATGCAGACCACGACTACCAAAAGCGTAGCAAAAGAAAGAGAAGAAGGGCGGGAAAGACGAAGTGCAAGAAGGAAGATACAGTTACAATGGCGCCCGCCCAAAATTACAGTTACGCGTAAAGGCGCCGACTAATAAGAGTACCGTTGCAGCCGCATGAAGAAGCGCGTAGACAAAAGGCGCCGCGCGGCAAAAAAAAATCCTAATTACTAAATTCCTAAATTCCTATCTAATGTGAAGCAGCAAAAAGCACAAATTCCAGAAGGAAAGTCCGAAATTTCGAGAGCCATCGGGGCTGGACAAAATTCGAAAAAGGTTCAAAAGAAAATTCAAAAAAAAGAACGAAGCAAATTCCCGCACGATGTCCGCGCCCAAAAGTTTGGAACCATCAAAAGAAACGACGTCAACATTAATTAATCGCGCGCGCGGTGGCGCGCCAGCCATTCAGCCGGCCAAGCAATCAACCGGCCATCCCGGGACACACCCAGCTCCGAGCCTAGCCATTTGAAAAGAAGCGACAAAAAGAAAAGACGAAGAAACAAGGACACTGATGCAATTTTCCACCGATCCCGATCTCCCGTAATTGGCCCAACCTTCCCAAATTATGACCCCTCATTGCAACCGCGCAGAAAGTCGCGCGTTACAGAAAGTGGTTCGTCACATATGTGACGCCCAGGGGGTTCTAATATTAGCAAGCTCCTGCTTGCTTGTGACACGTGTCGATTTCCCTAATCGATCGACACGTGGAGCATCTCTCTCTATGCCACTTACCGTTCAATTGAGTGTGGACGTCATCCAACGTGGCAGCAGTGCTCTTCTACTAATTCCTTAGGGTGGGCTTTTGACATTCCAAGGAGGGGGATTACACGTGCCGCCGTGATATGACACGTGTCCACTTAGCCATACATTAGTGAAAAAAAGGAGGGTAGACCCTAGATGTTCCCGGGGAATGGCAGTCGAATCATCGAGGGTGGAGGTGGTGGATGGTTCAGGGGGAGAGGGGGCATGAATCGATTGATGGCGGGGGAGGCGAAATCAGGGTGGGTAGCGTAGTGGAAGGAGCGATGGATGCGGGGGAAGCGAGGGTCCTCATGAAGATGGCGAAAAGCGGCAAGGTAGTCGGGGTAGATGGTAGAAAGAGTCCGTCGCAGGGCGGCGCAAAAATCTTCGTAGTTTTCGCAGGCGGGAATAGTTCCAGATATAATACAGTATATTTCTACGTGGTTATATTCCCGCCAGTCTGCGCTAAACAGGAGCACATGGTGGAGGAAAAAATCAACCACAGAGCGGGTGGTGGCATGCGGATAAACGGAGACGAGAAGGCGGGTAGCATAGAGATGGTAGAAGAGGTGATGGGGAAAAGGACACCAACCATCGGGGAACGGGGGTCTATCGGGAAGGCGGGTAAGCATGAGGTAGTCACGGGGTCGGCGAGAGAACGACCAGGGACGAAGCCCGAACGCCGAGATCTTGATGTAAACGAATGGAGGATCGAGACGGGGAGCCGGAGGGAGCTGGCGATTCTCTTCTTTTTCTTTTGCTCCGTGATCCCTCCGCTGCGGTTCCATCGTCTCCCTCTTCTGGTGGCTCCGGATCGTGCCACGGGGCCCCGATCGATGGATCGACAGGAGAAACGTTTGTCGTGGGTCGCTTTCCCTCTGCGGTCTCCTAGCGCTTCCGTTTCCTCTGCTCTTGCGCTCGTTCTCGAGCTGCGTCGCGCACCTCGGCCTCGAATCCTTCGTACTCCGACTCCGATTGCTCGTTTTCGTCTTCTTCTTCGTCGTTTGGTTCTCTTTCTTCCTCCTCTTCGTTCTTTTCCCACGGCTGGCTCGATCCGTCGGCGATCCCTGCTTCTCTTTCCGGTATGTAGTCTGGATAGTCTCGTTCTTCGCCTGATGGCTCCTCTTCTTCCTCCTCTTCCTCCGCTTCCCCTATCTCCTCGTCCTGCGCCGCGTTTCTCCTTGCGATCGGGTCCCAAAATGTGAGATCGGTAACGTCGATTTCCAAGTAAAGTGCCTGGGAGGGATAAAGACAGTTGTCCTCGTCAATCTCTGTACACGTGGACCACACAAGGTGCGGCTCGAGCGTTCGAGGCAGCACGTGGGTGCCAGGCTGCTTGTCACTGCGCGACAAGATGTCCAGGGGCAGATCGTCCACCAGCTGAGTCAGAAACACCAGCAGCTCGTCCGTGATCAAGGTGAGGTTGCCGTCCTCTACCTTCCCGAATACGATTCCTAGCAGGTCGCCCTGCTCTGCCGTTCTCCAGGCTTGGATAATCAGAAGCTCCACGCTGTCCTCCGGGTGCTCTGGTACTTCTCCGAACGGGGCCGCTTCTGACTAGCGAAACTCTATCTCCAATAGACTGAAGGCGAGTTCGATGTAGCCCTCCCACCACGCGTCCCACTTTTCTTCGCTCAATAGCGGCGCACTGTTCTCCTTAATACGGTAGGAGAAAGTAGGGGCCCGCGCAGACTGCCACAGGGTGGGGATGCTGGAAGGGAGGCCGAAATAGGAGACACGACGATGACTCATTGGGGCGGCGCGAAGGGACGAAGCTCCGGAAGGACGATCGCTGGCGAGCTTCGAGAGGAGCGGAGCTGGAGGTCCGTGTCATGCGCCGGCACGATGGTATCCCCTCGTCGAGCCAGGAGATCTGTCCACGCCGTCCGCACTTCCCCAGCCCAGGCGCGCAACGTCCGATAGATGTCGGAGTGAATCGCCGGCGGAATCGCTTTGATATCTCCTGTAAAGACGACGATGGCGATATGGCTAATCCCAGGAGGGGATAACCGTCGGAAGGCCGAGATCTCGGCTAGAACGCGCGTAGTTGCCTCTTCCGTGAATCGGAACTCTGCCGCCACGTAGATCGCCGCCGTGCTGAAGAAAGCTGCAAATCGGAGGAGGTCAGAGCAGAGATGGGGCCGCTGCACCTGCCGTATAACACTAATTCGCCCTCGCGGAGTAAGTAGCGGCGCGCCGATCACTTGCTCCGTTGCAAAGCTCATGGCGATGGTGATGGAGTAATAGAGAAAGAACAGGAAGGAGACGGAGAGATAGGACAGAGGTAGTCGTCGCCTTCCTCCGCAGTGGAGGAGGAATGAGGTGAATGCGAAGATGGAGAAGGAGGAAGGGGACGGAGGTAGGACACGTGGCGGATGATCGAGCGAGCTGATCGGCTGCCGGAGACCTCAGGCGCAAGCCGCACGGTGTTCACTCCGTTCGGTCAAAGTTCGATCACGTGAAATCGCCCGAAGAAGTGTGGCGCTAGCTTACCTTGGCGAGCACATTTCCTCATCTGCACGATGTCCCCTAATTTGTACTGGGGCCGTGGGCCTGCGTTCCCATTCCGGGCCTCGTAGCTTCGGACCTGTCGGCCTTGGGCCAACTCGGTCATTCTGTGCCGTTTTCGGGCTAGCTTGGGCAGGGACCGTTCCATTAGTTCCAGGTGTCGTTTGGCCTTGTCCCGAGTCGTGGCCCTGGTGGGTCGTCAGTTCAGTGTAGATTCATCCGAGAGGCTTGGTATTGAAACGCAAGCGACGCTATTGGTCCTTAATTGGAAGGGGCTAAGCCCTGTCGATTCATGAGGCGTACCACGATGAACCGCCAGGATGTGGTCGACGATATCGGGCCAGGGCCTCGGATCCAGTGCCGCGATATTTCGTCGCAACGCTGTCTTTATCACCCTATTCGTGTTTTCTACCAGCCCATTGGACTATGACATGTGGGGTGCAGTGTTCCGTATGGCGACGCCATGTATGACCAGATTCCTTAGTACCTCTCCTCTAAATTCAGCCCCGTTATCGGTCACGATCTCTTCCGTATCCTGGTGCATCCCGAGAAAGTGGTTGACGTACCGCGCGATGTCGCGTGCGATAAGGATAGGCCTCGATCCATTTCTAAAAGTGGTCGACAAATACCAATAGGACTGAATACTCACAACTATTAGGACCAGGGGGCACCACTATGTCGATAGTATCCATGTTGACTCCTTGAAATTGTCGTTCAACTACCGTTGGCACTATCGATCTTGGTGGTTGAATCGACGCTTTATTAGCGGCGCAGACTTGACAGCTGGCGACGATGTACTTCACATCGTCGCGGATATTGGACCAGTACCACTCGTTTTTGTCGATAGCCGACTTTGTGATTCGTACGGCGAAATGAGCCGCAGTTTCTTCATGTGCCGTCTTACCCTAGTCATACCTCATGAACGGATGCGGTACAACCATTCAAATCCCACTGCCGTCTGTTTTCCGTTTTTCTAATCTGCCCTCTATCCATCTGTAATCCCGAGCCCTTTTGTTGGCCCTCCTTCGATCTTCCTTGGTGAAATCCTGAAGGCGGTTGCCAACCAGAGTGGCAATCAAGGCGATATCAGTCCATACTTCGGCCCTTCTAAACTTCCGGGTCTTTTCCAACCTTTCTGACGTGGCATCCAAAAAGCGAGCCTCGGTTGGAATCTTGTCAGTCCGACACAAGGGGCACAACCACGGTTTACTATCGTTTCTGTATTGGATGCACGAGCCATAAGCTCGTGCGACACACTGTCGACAATCTATCCAGTCCGCATACCCTTCCCCGTTAGGACGCATAGAAATCGAGTACACGCGGGAGATAGCTTCGCAAAAGGGGAGATAGAGGGGTAGTGGGGTTACCTCCATCACCCATTGCCGCCGTTTTGCTTCTTGCCACGTAGGAGAACTGCCACTTGTCCGTACTTAGGCTCGTTGGCCAAGTCCGGCTCTTTCCACGGTGTGATTTCCTCGCCCTTTGGTACCTTGGCAGGTCGATGCAGACGTGTTAGTCCGTCCGCGTTGCCGTGTCGCTCTGTCTTTCGATGAACGATATCGAAGTCGTATTCTTGTAGTCGCACTGCCCAACGGCCAATCATGCCCGTGTAATTAGTGAGTTTCTTCAACGCCAGCAAGGGTTCGTGATCTGTTACGAGGCGAAACTTCTGTCCGTAGAGATACGGATGGAAGTGCTCGATTCCCCAGACTACTACATAGCATTCGCCTTGAGGTGTTGAGTCATTCCTTCGTTCGTCCGGTACCGTGCGCGATGCGTACTCGATGACGTGTTCGCGACCATCGTTCCCCTTCTGCGCTAGAATAGCGGAGATAGCTTCCGGTTGCCAGTCCGTGATAAGAATGAACTGCTTCTAGGGGTCCGACCCAATCAAAATAGGGGCCGTTGCCAGAGCGTCCTTGAGGGTCGCGAAGGCCTGTTGGCACTCCGCGTCCCAACTGAAAGGCTGGTGCTTCCGTAGCAGGTTCGTTAGTGGCTGTGCAATCGCGGCGAAACCCTTGATGAAGCGACGATAGTACGATGCCAACCCTAAGAAGGCTAGAACCTGCGTCAACGATGTGGGAACTGGGGCTTCTCTTACCGCCACAACCTTTCTTGAGTTCGGCCGCAATCCTCCACGAGTCATGACGTAGCCCAAAAATGAGATTTCCGAGAGGAAAAACTCGCTCTTCTCGAGCGCGATCTTGAACCCAGCGTCTCTCAGCGCTCCCAATGTCCACTCGATGTGTTGCGCATGCCCGTGATAGGTCTGTGAGTAGACAAGGATATCATCCATGTACACGATCACGCAAAAGTTGATCATCCCCTGTGTTAGCCGCGTCTTGTTGACGAAGTTCTGGAATGTCATGTTCATCGCTCGCTGAAACGTGGCAGGCGCGTTGCAAGTCCCCATCGGACACCGAACCCACTGCCACGTACCTTCAAACAACACGAAGGCCGTCTTTGGCCGATCTTCCTCCTTCACCAGAATGTGATGGAAGTCATGCCAAATATCAATCTTGCTGAAATAATTAGCGCATCCAATCGCATCCAACAAATCATCAATTCGGGGGAGGGGATACACATCTTTAATCGTGATTTCATTCAACTTGCGATAATCGATGCATATGCGAATTGATCCGTTTTTCTTCGGCACTAGTACGACGGGAAATGACCATGGTCCGGTGGCGGGTTCAATCCACCCGCTGGCTTCGAATTCTCGAATTCGTTCGAGAGCCTTTTTGCGCTCTATCAAGGAGTATCGGTACGACTTACAATGGATCGGGGAATGATTCCCCGTCTGTATTTCGTGTTGAATAACTAACGACAGGCCAATGTCAGTGTCTGTCACGCTAATCGCTCCCCGATATTCTGTCAAAATGTCCACAATCAATCGATGAATCTCATCGGGTACGTACGGTGGCACGTGTAACTCGAAATGCTGGTCCCAGATCCGTACATCTATCTGTTTTGTGCGTGCAGGTTTCGCCACATCGGGCGAGGGTGCAGAAATGAAGGAGTGATCCGATCGCCAGGAGAACATCGTGGCCATCATCTGGGCGTCTTCTTCCCGAATAGCCATGTGTCCTTCTGGGGTAATTCCGTCACAAACATCCTGCCATGGTATAGTCCTAGTCGCGATCTTTACTCCGAGTTCGTCCGAGTCAACTTCAAGGCGCCCAGGGGGTTCCAAGGAACTTGCTTCTGCCCCCAAGCGCAACAGTCGCACTTCTTTTGCGGGTGTCAAGAGGGACCTTGGTAGATCCGTAATGTCGCAACAATGCTTTTTGTCACTGTACCGAGCGAGGAGAGGGGTGACTCCTTCGTACAAGGTTTGAGGGGGTTCCAAGGAATCGACCATCCTTGATATCTGTACGAGGGGCTCACCCAAGATCATCGCCTTGGTCCTTTGAATGTTCCGACTGGTCAGATGCATCGTTCTTGCTATCGCTCTGGGTGGCGGGTAGTAAACACGCTGTCGTGCTAGCTTCAAGATTTCCAGATCGTCCTCATCACTGCTGTCCGCATCATTCGTCGATGACTTTCCATCCGCGGATTCATCCCAGGAGATCATGCGAAGAGTCCCTGCCATCATTGGCGAAACCCGTGGGACTGCGTTGATGGTGGCACGAAGAGTTAGCCTCATAGGTACAGCATAGGGCTTTCCTCCTGTATTTCGGAGGACGATCGATCGTCGTTCGAAATCTAGGTTTGCTCGTAACGCTACAAGAGCAGGAAGTCCGAAAAGAACGTCGTAGGTATTCACATCTAATACGACAACATCTTCCAGTGCATGCACCTTTCCTAATCGAAAAGCGACATTGGTCATCCTTCCTACTGTTTTCATCTTTTCTTCGTCAGCCGAAACGAGCTGATCTTTCTAAAAACGCATGATCAGGTCGATTTTCCTTCCTGCCCTTTCGACCACTCTTAGTGAAATAGCCAACACCACCGCTCTCGAATCTATAATTGCGTTGTAAGGAATTCCCCAAATTTCAATATCACATTCTGCGGATTTCCACGGGATGGGTTTAATCCGCAAGAAATGATCGTCTTTCTGGATTAACCCTACCCCAATTGGATCCGACGTGCCAACCGGGTTTTCCTCGGGCGTGGGGTTTTTAGATTTTACATCCGGTATTCGGGCGAGGGCGAATCATTTTCGGTTCGCCTTGCAGTGCTGTAGCATTCGCTCATTAGCTTGTTCCGAGATCGAAAGCAAATGACCGATCGAAAGCGGGATCCGATGGTCCAAGGCTCGAACGATGTTAAGCACATCGATTTCCCCAGTGACGAAGGTGGGTCCTCCCGACTCCATCTCTCCTATAGAAGGTCGCCACTTCGCCACCTCTTTATGTTCTGGTGCTAGTCTGATCATTCCGATCATTCCAATCCCGGGATAACCTAGTGATACGTACTGATCTAACGGATTCCGAATTAGCTCGGCGACTTCTTCCGTGGTGGCTAAGGCACTTCCCCCACCTTCTACTTCTTCCATCAAAGCTCCTACTCGTCCTGGTCCGTTAGCGATGGGGGCCGCGGACATCGGCGCGACCCCGACACGTTGTTGCGGAGGCCTGTGAGGGCTAGATGCCCAAGTTGATGACATGCATAACAGGCGTTCAGATTGCTTGCGACTCCTCCAAGAGCGGGTGCCGGGGCTAACCCTTGCTGAATCGGAGGCCCGACGGAGGGGCACGCACCGCAATGGGCCGCATGTTCCTCATCATGGCTTCCAACCGAGCATTGTGCTCTCGCTGCTCCTTTTTGCTTTCCTGAATTAGACTAACCAAGGTCTTGGTCAGCTTGAGTATGGCAGTTGATTCATTCGATCGTACGGGAGTCTCGACTGGGGGCGGGGGTGCCGTTCTTACAGGTATTGGCATTACAAAAACGGGGATACTCGGGATCTCACTTGGAACTGGTCGTTTAGGGGCTATATGTTCCATGTAGGTGACAGGACCTGACACAAACCCCATGTTTTCAAATTTGTTTTGCAGCGCAGCTAGTTCAGCTCTGGCTCTTATGAGTTCGGACGAATCTCCTTCCCTAGAGTAGTCTTCTCCTTCCAGGAAGTTCGCCGCGAACTTCCGTTCCATTTCTTCTGCGGCGGCCATGATCTACTGTAGCGTGTGATTGATGGGGGAAAACTGCTTTCACAGCTTCGCCCTTATTCTTCGGCTGCGGAGTCCGTCTATGAACAGATCTCTCCCTACTTGCTCGCCTCACTCAGTTTTCACAAACATTCGGTAGAACCGGTTTCGATACTCTGCGACGGATTCGGGAGGTTTTTGCACCCGATCCTTGATCATGTAAAGCGCTTGCTCTGGGTGAACGTAATCAAATCGATTCAGAAAGTCTCGTTCGAAGGTCTGAAGATCTACCTATACATAGGTACTAAACCAGTGATGAGCATCACCTCCTAATCGAGCGGGGATGTTTACCTGAGCTTTGTTATCGTCGTATTGCTGCGCTCTAAGTGTGGCCAGCCATGCTCCTGCGAGATGGTGTGCTGGATCGAATAGATAGAAATCAGGTGGCGTCATGGGAGACCGTGCTCGTGGGGCGGGTTGATTAGGATTCGGTTGATTAGCATTTTGTTGCGGATTCGAATTTTGCACATTAGCAGCCATATTGGCCGCTCGTCGATTAGCCGATCTGCTTCGGGTGATGACAGGGTCGCGTCTATGCGCGTTCCGGGGGCGAGGCCGCCCTCGGTTAGCCAGATCGCCTAATTAGCGTGCTATTAATCCTAGGACCCAGCCACGTGTCGGACTCCGATACCAACCTCACGCCCAACGCGACTTCTTGATCCGAGTGGGCCTGGAAGTGCGAAAATGGGTGTGCCAAGGATTTTTGGGGAAAGTGGAGTCCCAGGTCAGAACTGGGATCTCTTGTGACAGGGTCTTTCGGGGGCACGAGTGCGATTTGGCGAAGAGGGCGTTTTCGGGTTACCAGCGCAGTTCGCTCAAGACCGAGCGAGCCATTGGTTTCGGGGATGGCGGTTCCGGGGTTGGTCCCTTCGGGGTAGGTGGGGTTCCGATGAGTTCGTCCGTCGGGAGTTGCCACGTGGCGCTGGTCGTCGCACGTGCGGGCTAGGCCTTCGGAACTCCGGGGTTCTTTGATCGCCGCGCCGTCGGCAGTTCCCGCAGGGTGTGCTGGGTCAATAGGGTGCTATGGCCGGCCACGGAACAACACTCAGTTGATGGTACGGAAGAAGAAGGCGGAAGGGAGGGAAGCTGGTGGTGATGACGACAAATCCCGGGTGGATGAAGTAGTAGGTATGGTTGGGAGATGGGAAATCAGAGCACCGGGGGTCGCTAGAGGTGGCGCAGTGGAACTCCCGAGGACATAGTCGATTCTCAGTGTGGCAGGGGTATCGCTGTCTCAGGATTTCGTTTATCCAAGGGGTGAAGTAATCTGGGTCGTATGATGAGT